GTTTGAAATGCATGTTTTCTAAACAAGTGCAGCTGTTACCTGAAACTAAAACAAAGACAATAATTTATTTTGCCCATCCAAAGGATGCAGAAAAAACATTCATGCAAAAAAGGATACCGGTAATTTTATTTGTGCTTGTGCTCAAAATTTCATAATGTTTTCTTAATTCCACGGACAAGAACAACATGAAGCTAGGCCTGAAATATTAGTAACATATGTTCATGGCTGACAGGCATGTCTTTAAGTTTGACTTGAAGCCTTGTGATAATCTTTGAGCTGATCATCTCCTCACTCTTTTTGCTGAGCACTTACTAATAGTCAAGTGCTTTGATGGTTATAGTCAAGCTGATCTTTTTTCATGCTTTTTTTCTTTGCTGTTAATTTTTGTCTGGGAAGAAGTAAGAATTAATAATTTTTTTAGGCACACCAATAAAGTACATGTTTGGAAATAACTATTTATAGGGCAAGTAAGCAAATGTTGGTGAGTTAGACATTATTGGTCATTTCCCACTGTTTGAATTAAAGGTTGAAACAATTGGTGATTGCTACATGGTGGCCTCAGGATTGCCATTAAGGAATGGAAACAGACATGCAGGTGAAATTGCAAACATGTCCCTTGACTTGCTATCAGCGATGACCACTTTTAATATTAGGCATCTTCCAGGCACACAGCTACAACTTAGAGTTGGGATTCACACAGGTATGTTTATCAGCCTTATAATCTGAACAGTATCAGGTTCTTCAAGTTTGAGTTATGTTGCTGTCAGAGCTGTTTTCTCTGACTGGACATTTTCAGTTCTCACACATTTCTGAAAGTAATGTTCTTTAAGTACATTCCTCCAGCTGTGGCAATAAAAGCTGTTTTACCTCAGTTGTAATATTGTGCAAATCAACCCTGTTTTGTTTTTCTTTCTTTTATTTTAGGTTTTGTGGTTGCTGGTGTAGTTGGCCTCAAAATGCCAAGGTATTGTCTTTTTGGTGATACAGTTAACTATGCCTCTCGAATGGAGTCTTCAGGGTTTGGTAAGTTATTATATTCTCTTTTAATTTTGCTTATAGAAACAGAATTAAAAGCATTTGGTAAAATATCGGCATCATGGTTTGGTTAAACAACAATGGTTGATAATCAATTTGAAGAAACAACAGCCAAACTTTACAGTTCTCTCAAGCAGTCATCAATTTCACTCATCTCAGAGTGTATGAATTGTCAATGATTTACACTTGCACCAAGCTTGTTTTGTGTTCTTCTTTCTGTTAGTGTGTGTTTGTTTTTGTAAGTTATATATGTAACTTATTTGATAAAATTAATTTCCTTTTGTTAGTGAATAATATTATGCCATCCCACCCCATCAATTCTTTCTGCCTGAGTTATTGAGAATGTATCATAGACCTCAACAAATTACACCTGGCCCCAGATGTGCAAAGGCTGGAATGTGTTATTTACTGCTTGGGATAGAAATTTAGCCAGTGGATTTTGAACAACTTGGGCCTTAAAAAAAGGAAAAATTGATAGAATGAAATTAACAGAGACATAATAACAAATTATATTATTTTATGATTTCATATGCTTTTTCAAACAACAATATCAATACATAATTTTTATTGACAAGTGTCTTCATGTGTGACCTGTTGCATCCATTACAAATATTTTCAAAATTAAAATTCATTGTAATGCAAAGAATGATAACCTACAATAATTCTCTTATTTAGCACTTTGCATTCATGTGAGCCCTGAATGCAGAGAAGTTCTTGAACAACTTGGTGGTTATCATTTGGAGGAACGGGGTGAAGTGGAAATGAAGGTACTAGTAAAGGCTACAATCACATAGCAATAGATTTTATTTCTTCAGTTACAGATCTTTGATAACATCAGAATACTGGTAGTAGTAACTACTACTACTACCACTACCACTACCACTACCACTACTACTACTAGATTATTATTATGGTAATTATTGCATGGTTACGTATTAGTGTTGACCATATATTTTAGGAGGTCTCAGTTTTCAATGAACAGCTGTACAATGCAAAATGGAATTAACATGACCAGGATATTTACAGTGCCTTTTTGTTGTTTTTGTTTGTTTGTTGTAAATTTTCCTCATCAAAGGTACCAGTTCCTAAACAATTGTGTCAGTGATTACTTGCCAAAATAATCCAGCATGTCATTCTTATTTTCAAAGCTTCTGAAGACAAGACTGACAAACCTTCTACTTTATCCTCAGGGAAAAGGGAAGATATTCACCTATTGGCTAAGGGGGCGAGATGGATTTGACAAACCCCTTCCTGACCTTAACTTGCAAGCTGGGATGGATGAGCATGCGTTCAAGTAGCTGTTACAGATTTGTTATCTTAGCAAAAAGTTTTACTATTTATTCCCAAAGAAAGCCTTTGAAGGACTTGGTTTTGTTCATTTGAAAATCTTGTATGGTGGAAACTCTCCTCACAGACACTCTCATAAGCGGACAGCTCTACTTATGGACACCTTCATGAAACCCCATTTTTTCCTTACCCCCATACTAACTCTGTCTTTACACTCCTATAAGCAGCCAGGTCTAGTTACGGACATTTTTTTTGTATCCCGAGGGTGTCGACTCGTGAGAGCTTCTACTGTATTTCATAAAGGGAAAGATTTATTTTGGATCATCTAAACTGTTTTTGTTCCTGTCATTAGTGCCATTTTTTACTGCCCACTTACTGAAACAACTACTGCTAATCAAAACTGCATTACTGTATTACATAACTGTGATAACTGGTAATTTTGTTAAGAGAAGTATGCATTAAGTTTTACTTTAACAAAAACATGCTCTTCTCTTCTAGTGATCATTTTCTGCATCAAGGCTCATTTTTGTCCTCTCCATTAGTCAAAATGGGAAATTTTGTGGATATCTTGGATACTGTTGTCATAAAAGTCAAGCATACTTTAACATCATGTGGCAACCGTAGTTTTCATATATATGTATGACTGCCATACAGCACTAAAACTTGAGGATATTTAATAATGTAAGAATCATATTGAAGTACCAGGTTGAACAAAAGAACTTGTCCCCCCTAGTCAACCTCTCACTGGCTCAAAGTAAACTAAATACAACAACGGCACATTATAACCAGAGTTGCACCTTGCATGACTTGCAGCTTATAGTCACAGTCCATCTTGTCATTCAACAGGTAGTTTATCATGCTAATCAAAGATTTTCTTTCTCTTCAAAAAGTTTAACAGACAAAATTATGATTGTACAGAGACACATAAGGTTTGGTTTCTTTGCCACCATATCAGGGCTGTCAGGCTTTATGGCACAAATCTTGGCCTCCTTGTTACGTTTGTCTCATTTTCAAACTTAGAGTAGCCGGCTTATTTTTCTGCCGTAGCCGGCTAAAGCTTGCTATCAGATGCTGACAGCCCTGCTTTGCAAAACATAATCAGAATTGTGACTTTATTCAGTTATTTACCTTTATTGGCCATGGAATTATTGTTCTATTAAGGTACAATTAAAAATGTTTTTGGATTGGGTTGGTTAGGCACCTAGTTTATCACATTACTATTCAAAAATAAATGCTGAAAGAACTTGCTTGGATGCAGTATAGTAGTGATCATTAGACTCTTATTTCTTATTTTAATGGAAATGAGTATGGGTAGGGTAACTGCATCTGAATAATTTATTTTTTATGTATATTTGTAGCACAAAAGAGGACAATTAAGCCTACCATATTTTCTCAAAAGATCTCCACCCCTTTAATAAACAACACACTTCTGAGCAAAAATATCATTTAAGTGCCTTACCCTCCCTTCACTATTGTTGGCACTGTTGCTGGTGAGATTACCAATCAAAAGAGAAAAAAAGGCCTTGGAAACTAACTTTTGTCCTTTTCTTACACTGTTCTTATTGCTATTCTTTAAAAACAAAGAAGAGAGATTACATAATTTACAAATAAAATAATTTTTTATAAGTGGTCCCCCAAAGAGGTGATACACTGAATGTGAAAAATTACTATGGGCTGTGGTGCTTTTTTGAGGAACATAGTCAGCTATTTAACAACTGTCTGCATTAGAACAGAAAACTACATTATTTTAACTTGAGTATCTCACCCATTTTACAAGTGCCCATTTTAATCCTAAATATTACACTGCATCTACATTGCAGACTGTGTCTTATGGTTCCAGGCAAAAAACTTTGCATTTCAACATGCAGTCCCCAAAAAGATGAAAGATTTTTGTAAATAATTCCTTCACAATACAGTACAGTTGAACACTGCAAAGCCGAAAAATCCATTTTTTAGAATTTACACAAAAGTTTTCTATATTTTAAAACATAAAGTAAAAATAAAGCATCATATTAAGAGATAAATATTTATTATTTGAAGATGCTGCCTTATCCTTGGTTAAAGTTTTGAAGACTATTAAAAAAACCCTTACTGAAATATTGTGTGTGGTTGCTGTTTTCATATGAAATCAACCTACAGTGTATGCAACAAATTCTGTGAACTGCAACTGACTGTTCTGCTCTGTCGCAATATAAATATGACTGTCGCAGTTGCGAAAACAATTTGTAAATTAGCCTGGAAAAAAGTCTCGGAGCCTCGACGGGATTCAAACCCTTGGCCTCTGTGTTAGCCCTGTAGTGCTCTACCAACTGAGCTACGAAGCTATACACTGAGAGCTGAGGCCAACTTGTTCAAATTTCATTCAGTCAAACCCACAGTAAAACGTCTCTAAACTCCACCTTTAGGACAGGCCTCAGTGGGTACAGCAGGGAGGTGGCCATTGTAGAAGTTTTAACAAGTTAGAGTACACAAACATCCATTTCCCTATCCAGATTTCCCAGGCACCTGTTTGTTTGGATCATTTCATTTCACTAAGTTTGCTTGATCTCTTGATGTGACTGTGTTAGGGACAAATCATACATGTATTTCTACTAGTAGTACTTACAGCTGTAATTGGTGTTTCAATGAGCTTATTTAAAAAAAATACCAGGAAATTTATATTGAAAATAATAAAATTTTTATTCATCAGCAGATTCATCCATATTTGTACCAAATTTAGCAGCTCCCATATATCTCTCTTGCTGAAGCATAGCTTTTGACTGGTCATCATGCTTCGGTCCCAGTGTCCAAAGTTTTTCTAGTTCATAAACAGCTCTCATTTCAGGGAGAAAGAAGTGCACAGCAATGTTACCTGCAAAACAAGAGAATATTAAAGTTATGGCTCTCAACATATGAAATGGAAACTAAAATGGGCTCAAATAATTTCAAGACTTTAAACACCATGTTTGTTGTATACCCATGCTCCATGACACTTGTTTTCAAAATAGTGTCTCATAGTAATTTATACTGGTAGATAAAATGTGTACAGAACACAACATAGGGTAATAGATTGGATGAGTGCTCAGGCCCCAAGTTTAAACATAACCTTCAAGCTCTTCAGACTGGAGTTCATTCATTTCAAGCTTTTTGGATCTTGAATGCTGTGGTTTTTAAAAATTCTTACCAATATCTAAAGCTGCCCAGTGATCATTCTCTAAACCCTCTACAACCACATGGCCATCTCTTCCAATGCCACGCACCTCATGCCCTCTGAACTATAGAGAAAATAGTCATGAGGGTTAGATCATAAGTAGCTATATTAAATCAGACTCAACTCACTTGGATGATGACAAATGCCTTAACGGAAACATTATACATGTTATAATACTAAAAGAAAGTTATTCTCTTGTAAGGAAAAAACATTCCCACGTCTGTATGTGCTGATTAGCGGGTGAAAGTTCGGGGGGAATAACTGGATCCTTTTTTTGCAGTAAAGGCACAATAGTATTTTGTAAGCTTGAGTTACTTAGACAAGAAAACCTTGCTTAAAATTCGGCTTAATCATAGGTTAACCTTAACCATCTTTTGAGGAACCAGGCCCAGGGCTGTAAAAAACCTGAATCCCAGCTTGCACTCGTGACTAGCAGTGGCAATAACATATTGCTTGCCTGGGGTAGTCTCATGCTTGTCTCACTTTATGATTTAGTGCAAGCATGACATGCCTAGACCTTTGCCCTTCCGGCAGGTGAGTAGGAGTTGTCCTGGACAACTGGACAGGGGTCCCGTTCCTGAAAGCCCGATTAGCATTAATCCAGGATTAAAATTTGACAATGATGGGTAAACAATAATAAACATATCGCCCCATATATCACAAAATTTCACCCACCTTTGCACCCAAAATAAACAACTTTAAAATTTTGTGACTTCATAGAGCTATAACCTTCCTAGGAATATTCTTTTCACACTCCACTATTACAGATGGTTTCTGATATGGATGCCAATTCATGGCCTAGCTATAATGAGGCCCTGTTAGGTAAATATCAACAGCGACATGGCCTTGTAACTTTGACATAAGATAGATAAAATGGTGACAACCAACACAGATATATGGGTTGAAACTGCCACAGTAATAAAGACAGGGACATGGGTTTCTCCTCACTATGTGAAACAATATACACTTTACGTCAGATCCCCAGGGAAACAGTTAGTTTTGTTTTGCAAGAGTCCTAATGTTTCCCCGAGATGAAGTCTTGAGGAACATCAGGACTCAAGGGAAAACAAAACTAACTGGTTTCCCGAGGACCTGACATTAAGTGTTTTGTTATATTTCTAGACTTTCACTTCAACAGCAACACAGGAATCACTGGAGCAAATCAAAACAGTCAACTTGGTACTTACAAGAACACAAATAATTTTTTGTTCATTCAGTGGTTTTGAGAATTAAATTATTTAATTCTCAAAACCACTGACTGAATGATTTACAAAGCAGTTTCCTTATAATATCTGCATCTTTTTCCTTCACTAGCTGCTGTTTCTCTTTCAGGATATCTTTGAAAATCATTGCTTTTAAGCCTGAGGCTTTTTGTTTGTGTTGTCGTGTTCATTCACAAAAAAGAAAACTGGCAGTGTTTTTTCCCCCTTTCCGTCACGCCACTTTCCACCATGCTTTGATAACATGCTGTAATGTACCCCAAGCGGGGTACAATTGCTCACATGTATCACAGTCAAGAATCAACCAATGGCAGTCCTTGTTTAGTTGAGTGAAATTAGTATAACAATAGGTTTTGAAATTCATTCTAGAAACAGAGGAACCCCCTCCCCCCACACAGAGGGCTTCTATAAATATAGAAGTTGATATTTTGTGGAATAATTAGGGGGAAGTGTATCTTGTCCAAAAAAGGAAGACTCTGCCCTTCCAAAGGTTCATCTTGCCTACCAACCACTTGTTGCTCAGGGATCTTTTCATTTCTCCAATCCAGTCAATGAGCATCTGTCATTATATGCCTAAAACTGTGAGTGAGCAAGATAACTCAAATCCTGCATTCTGATTGGTTACCTAAGTGGCTACGTGAGCAGGCAAGATGGGACTCTGGACTTCCAGCGTTAGACCCCCAAGAGAAAGTTCTCTTTTTGGCCAGATAATTAATCCTTTGTTGGCCAAATTTGTTCGGTCAAGATCATGGCTATATCTTGGGCCTTAACTTTTTTTGCATTTTAATGACCTTGACGAATAAAAATGTAAAAAGGAACTTGACCAATATCCAGCCATCGCCTGCCTTGAACTCACGCTTGGTCAATAACGCATATCTTTCTACATGTACCTACCAGCTGCTCCAAGTTCTTAGCCATAGCTCGCAAATGTCTTACAGAGACACCGCTAACAATTACAAAGTAGTCCACATAGCTTCGTCTGTCTCCACTTGTCTTAATTACACAGATGTCCATAGCATTTTCTCTTCTTAGGAAATCTACAAGATCCTCTATGTTCATAAAACCATCTTCGTCTAACGTGTACTCAGCAAGGGCAGAATGCAATCTACCACGTGATGAACTACTGTATTCAACTGCCATTTCACCTGAACTGAAATTAGAAGTCGCTAACGTCTCGTCAGTTAAAGTGACATCCTTCTTATCATACGACGTAAAGCTTTCTTTAAGGAAACAGCTTGCAGTACTCAGAAGCCTACATGAAGCTGGTGAAAACTTTCTTGGTAGATCAACAAGAATGAAGAAGGCACGAGCGTCGCTGCAAATGTATCTCTCTTCAAGGACAAATGAAGCCTTGGCAAACCGGAAAGAACAAAGCCCAAGGCTCAGTGACTTAGAGAATGATGATAACTTTCTAGCTTTGCAAGATAACATGTCTGTAGTTCAGTTCAGATGAACTCCGCCATTTTAAGTTGGACCTCGCTTTCATGTCAAATCACAACCACAGGAACACCAGCCTAACTCCCAAAACAGTGAGAAGGGAAAGGGCGTGCCGCGTGGGTGGTTCACGCGGGTGGCAAGTGGCGAAGCTTAGACAGAGTTCAAGAAAGAGAGAGAGCATTTTCTGAGAAAAATGAAAAAAAAAATCCATTAACTGATCATTGTATACTCCCTCATTCCCCATTGAAACATGGTAGGAAAAATAAAATTGCTGGTTTTCAGTGTCACGCCATTCAAAATAGATCGAAATAAAAATCAAAACTGTTCGATAGTTTAAGTCCAGAATCTGGGAAATGAAAGGAGGTAAACATGCAAAGACCCTCGCTAAGGTTCGGGTCAGAGGAATATTTCGTATACGAGATATCCCAAAAAATGTTTTAGGAATTTGTATGGAGACGCCATGCTGGTGCCCACCTAGATGGGCACCAACACGGCGGACGGGAAACCAACAGAAACATCTCTTACCGACTTTTGCTACAAAAGCGTGAATTTATCCCTCGAGGAACTCGAAAACATTAAAGTAATACTTTTCCTAATAAGTAAACTGTTTAAACAGCAAAATTCCCTAAATTAGCAAAAGGGTTAGAAATTAAAGCGTACTCTAACACAAAACCAAGAACCTTTTTGAAGCGAAAATTTGTAATATGAACATTAGTTTTCAGCTGCTCTGATACGTCATGAAAATAAAATCTCAGTAGATCGTTAGTTTTGTAATTTAAATTTTAGTGACGTCATGTTAAAAACAACAATAGTCCGCAGACGTATTTCTTTTCTTTTCTTTTTTTTTTCGACAATTCGGCAATGCCGAGAGAGAGAGAGAGAAAAAAAGGAAAGAACTATTTTCTTCTTTTTTCCAGACCCCATCCCTTTGCACTTGAGGTGAACTAGCAGTTTTTACAGTATTTTCATATTATACAATGATGTGAATGCAACGCGCATTGTGATTGGTCGTTGCCCATGAGCTATTGGAATACAGATACATGGATGATGTCACGAGAAACTTGTTTAATTTGTTTTGTTCAAAATGGCGCGCAGTTTTGAAAATACTTGTGAGATTGTTTCGGATTAAGCAAGTGAAAGCCTCGAAAAAAGCTAAGCAGGAGCTATTTACAAAGAGGAAAAATGGAGAAAGGGAAACAAATAGAGCTGTTGATAACTTGAGAAAGCTTAAACTACAAGAAATCTTTACAACAGTTGCCATCGCATCTTCTGTCATCGCTAGGGGAGACTCGCTGTTTTGCAAAATGTTTTCGCCATTATTCTGGTTTGAGCAAGAAAAGACGTTGAAAAACTATTCGAAGAAACTGTATGCAAGTAAGATAAAGAAAAAGGAGAAGCAGAGACGAAAAATAGCGATTGGGACTTGAAAAATGCCTTAACCAACACAAATCTTCGAACAGTCAAGCGTTACGAGGTAGGTATGTGTATTGGTCTTTTTTCTTTTCTCAACGTTGTAATGTATAGATTTTAGCCAGGGCTAAAAAAGAAGCTCTCGATAATATTTTTAGTTTTCTCAGACAAAATATAAAATCGTGTAATGCTAAGCGCCGAAGGCAACGAGAATGGTCAAAAAACAACAACAGGTCTAATTAGCAACTTTGCACGTGCAGCAAACTTTTTTGTACATTCCTATGCCGTTGTTTTACACGACTACAACGTAAAACTCCCAGAAACTTCCTAGTTACACGTTTTATGGAGGAAATGTCGTAGGTGTTCTTGTTACCTTTTTTTTCACTGCCGCTCACTTTCACCTTGGTGGCCGCTAGCATTTCTCATTTTCTCACCGCCGCTACAAAATTTTCATGTTGTTTTTCCAACAACTTTCTTTTTTTTCTCTCTCTCTCTCTCTAGTTCTCTGTCGCTCCTTTTCTTGTTGAGCTTCGCTGGCCCGTTGCCAACTTTCTCTTTTTCTCTGCCTTTCTCTTTCTCTATATTCTATATATAATAGTGGACCTGACAATCAATCTAAGCTTAATACTTTAGACAACACGGATACAGAAACAATTTCCGCTTTCTGTTTTCGTCTTTATTGACACTTAAGTTGTCTCTGCTTCACAAGACGCGGGCGGCTTTGCGATTTCCCGTCAAAATAAAAAAATGAGTAATAAATAAAATAAAATAAAATAAAGGTCTTTATTGTTTTTTAAGCAAAAATACATGCTAAAACCAGGAACACTTACATTAAAAATAGCAGAAAGAATTACAAGGCTTAAGAAATTCCATGTGAAAGCATTGAATTTAACATTCAAGATACACATTACATTAAATAGCTACTCTATATTTGAAAACTAGCCTATTAAAGGAAACTATTTTTAAAACGCTGGTTATTAACCATAGGGAGGTGACTGCTAGGAACTCGGAGGCGCGCTGAACTTTCTTTCGTTTTGAGGACGGAAGGGCCGGGTACAGAGGGTGACCGGGCATACTGGAGATCTTCTTGACCTTAGTGACTGATCTACCCCTTCTAATACGTTATATATGTCAATTTAGTACGAAATATAATTGATTTGTGTTTAAAGCAGCGCTGTCGAAAATTATGGACCGTTGTTAATTCAGGTATTGAGGAGGCGTATACAGGTAGACCGTTCGTTAGCTTCGGTAAAAAAAGTGATCTAAAAACGTAATCTTACATCTGGTTGTTGGGTTGTTGGTATCCCTCTTTACGTAAACATCTTATCATATAAAGACACTTATTGGCCTCCTGCAGCTTAATCTTAATATGCTCATTAAATCTGTGATTACTTTGTAAAGTAACCCCCAACACTTTTAAACAAGAAACTTGTGTTATATTGTTCACAGGGTCTATATCATGAGCAAACTTCTTTCAAAGTATCAGTTCATTGCATTTTTTGGGATTACATGCCATGGCATTATCTTGAGTCCAACTAAAAAACTGATTGACAACCTCCTGAGAAAGGTCTATTTCATTTTTACATACTTTGACTAGCAAGGTGGTGTCGTCAACATATTTACCCATGCTGGTAATGTCATTATTCTAGCTAATAGCCAAATCGTTAAAGAACAAATTAAAAAGATGGGGCCCACTTACACTTCCCCGGGTTGTTCCTTTGTTCACATTATGCTATTTGTAGATATAGTTATAACACCCTTAAATATTATTCTTTGTTTCCTATCCATTAGAAAGCTTAGATACCAGTTAACAAGATATGGATTGAGATGAAGAGCCTTTAGCTTTTCCCCAACTAACGAGTGTTTCATATTATCAAAGGTTTTCGAAAAATCCATTGCAAAAAGCCTAGCATAGTTACAATCCTTATCATCAAGTGCTTTCAAGTAATTATACTGTATTTGAATCCAGGCGTCCTTACAGCTGTAGCCCTAACTTTACGCATATTGCTTGACCGTCAGATTTTCCTACTTTTTTCTTACTGTAATGATGGTATACAGTTCTTTCAAAACAGCGTGCTTTAACTGGAGTCACGTTAATTCCCCGAAAAACAGAATATTGAACAGGAGTTGCTACCTTTGGAAGGGGATTGATGTTAGCTCCTTTCCAAGCTGTTGGCCATGTGTAAGAAGACAGAGACTTGTCCCACAGAGCAGTCACCACAGGAGCTAGGGTTGTGCAATTGTCCCTCCAAACCCAAAACGGCAACCCATCAGGGCCAGTAGCGGTTTTTTTAATCTTGAATAATGCCATCATCACATCAAATTCCTGGTGGGTGTGTCTCGGGGTTTTCCTTGAGAGGCACTGGTTTGACGTAGTTCTTATCGTTGCACAAATCCCCAAAATAATAATTGAGACCAGCAAGAAATTCATTATCTAAATATGGCTGAAGTTTCTCTTTCCTTAGGGTGATTTTATCCACTCTCCTCCACCAGTGCAAACTCCCTTGTGCTCCATTCCTGCCTCAGTTTTTCCGATTTTCTCCAATAAACTTGATTGATTTTCTCCAATCAACTTCCCAATCAAAATAACCTCGAGTTGCATTTGGGTTGCCATACCTGTTGATTGAGTTATTTTACATTGGTATGCCTGTTGTGCGGACGGACAGCGGGTGGACGGGCGTACGGTCACGTGATTACCAAAATTTTTCGGATGGGCAGATTACCACATTTTCTTAGGTATGGGGCTACGCTCGCGTGAAGCTCCGCTATAGAACAAATGGATTCCCTGTTGCCATGGGTCAGTTCAGTAATAGGTCACAGAAGACGTCAAAATGTGGTAAAAACATCAGTGATGCACTTGCCTGCGGCTCATGTGCCACTTCTTTGTTTCTACTACATTTTGACGTCATCTGTGATCTATTTATGAACAAACGCACGGCAACATGGAATCTATACATCGTTTTCAGTCACGTGGTCAGCAGCTTTGCAAATTGCTTGAAATAAAAGAAAGTTTTAACATGTGGAAAGAGTTCAATAGTCCATTTTCGAGTTCGCTATGACCGCTGAATTAGAGAAGTGAAGACGCACTTTTTACAGCCTTAGCCTCAATCTGAAGTAACATATTCACAAATTCCAACGAGAAAAAGACCTGTTTATTACTCTGTCTATTGTGTATATTCAAATTTCAATCACTTACTTGCCAGAATTTCTGAATATTTTACTTTAGGTCAAGGCTAACCCTGTATGAATGTTTCGTTACGGTTTATATTCAGCGGTAATTTTTATTTCGAAACTGGATTATTCCCACAAACATGGCCGCCGGTTCATTGTTTTGTACTCAAATATGGCCGCCGTGACGTCATGTGAAAACGATCTATTTGTTCAAAAGAAAATAGATCGGGTCTGTGAACAGGCATGTAAACTTCAAGGGGCCCTCCAGAATCACCCAGAGCTCTAGAAGAAGCAACTTTAAAATTCAGGAGTAAATCGATCTCCACGTAAAACATCCAAAAAAAAAAAAATGCTACTAAGGCTTCTATTCAAAGACCCTTTTCAACTGATGCTCAGTGAGACCTCATTCCCAG